GAAAATGTTCAAAGAAATGTCTAGGCTGTAAGGTGAAGATGGAAGAATGGACAGCAAAGCTAGTACATATTTGTTAAAGTGGAGGTCCCTATGGCCACTACGGAAGACTGGGATTTTAACCTGCTTCCGTGCTTTGGGCAGGTTGCAGCAAAGAAACCAGTACGTCTTTCTAGTAATTTGCATCCCTCTGCCAGAATTAGTAAATCAGGCTAGGATCAGGAAGGCACTGCCACTAAAGGACCCTTGGTAAAAGTTTCTACTGGAGTCTACACTTTTCCTGCACAAAAACTTGTGGCCAAAATGTGTATTATCTCAAAATGTGTTTGTGAAATCTATAGTGGGGTTCAGAACGCATAAGAAATATTTATGGAGATGTCAAACTTTGTGCAATACTGTTATTAGTTTACATATATTTCCCAATGATAACATTTCTATACAATTATTTCAGTCTTTCTTATCATTTCTGTTTTTTTGTGTGTGTGAAGGCAATTTTATAACTATATTTGATGCAGTTGAAGATTCAGTGGTTAGTTCTCATCCACTTGACTCTCTCTCTCTCTCTCTCTCTCTATATATATATATATATATATATATATATATAATTTCTTTAGACAAAGTCTTTCTCTGTCACCCAGGGTGGAGTGCAGTGGTGTGATCTTGCTAATTTTTTGTATTTTTAGTAGAGATGGGGTTTCACCATGTCAGCCAAGCTGGTCTTGAACTCCTGACCTCAAGTGATCTGACCATCTTGGCTTCCCAAAGTGCTGGGGTTACAGGCATGAGCCACCATGCCTGGCCGACCGTCTGTAGATTTTTGAAAGTGGTAACAGGTACATAGGTAATCAAAGTACACAGCTTATTTGGTGAGTCTTCAAACTCATTATGTCCTCTGGACAACCGCACATGAATACAGTATGGGTCATTCCTTATTCCTTTGGCAAGGATAACTTTGTTAAACCTGGTATCAATACACACATCTGAAGTTCCCATCTCCTTCATGGCAAAATTTCCAGATCTCTTTGAGTTCCCGGGGGGCATGCTTCTTGAAGCCCACTCCATGGATGTTCTTGTGAATGTTGGTGTATTCTCGGGTCACCACCTCATTGATGGCAGAATAGTCCAATTTCTTCTTGGCACCGTTCTTTGCAGGAGCCATTCTGCCAGGCCCAATTTGGTAAGGCTTGTTATCGTTTCTTTAAGCTTTTTTCCCCTCTTTTCTTTTTTCAGTCTGAACCATTCCAAATGACCTTTTTTCCCTCTATTCTTCCTTCCTTCCTTTCTTTTGCTCTCTCTTTCTCTCTCTCTCTCTCTCTCTCTCTCTTTTGAGATGGAGTCTCACTCTGTCACCCAGGCTGGAGTGCAGTGGCAGGATCTTGGCTCACTGTAACCTCTGCCTCCTAGGTTCAAGTGATTCTCCTGCCTCAGCCTCCTGAGTAGCTGGGATTACAGGTGTGCTCCATCTCATCCAGCTAATTTTTGTAGTTTTGGTAGAGATGGGTTTTCTCCTTGTTGGCCAGGCTGGCCTCAAACTCCTGACCTCAGGTGATCTGCCCACCTTGGCCTCCCAAAGTGCTAGGATTACAGGTGTGAGCTGTTAAGCACATCAATTATGTAAAGATACCCCCCAAACGGGCTTTCTGTGAGCAACATGACTGTTTATTCACCCAGGTGTGGGGTGAGAATTTGAATTGGTCCCTCCTATTATAGTATTGAAATTAAGTCTACTTAATTTATCAAGTCATGTTCATGCCCTGATTTTATATACTTGTATCTATCAATAAACATTGTGATACTTGAAAAAAAAAAAGGGGGGTCTTGAGAAACCTAATGTCTAAAGGGGAAGCTTTGCAAGGCTGAGCAGGAACAATGGTCGAACTTTGCAGGGGGAGAGCAATCAGTTGAGGCAGGAACTAGTTGTTTCACTTCTCTTTGTGGCCATCTGGCTACTTCTGACTTTCTGGCTCAGCAAAAACCCTCAGGAGGTATATATGCAAGTCACCAATGCTGTAATAGCCAGGCTTGGACTTGGAGGCCTGACATGAGCCACCTTGCCCGGCCCCAATGACCTTTTCATCTTGCTTTGCCATCCCCGTACTTTTAACACTGATAGTCTGGTATTTCACACGAATGCGGTGGATGGAGCCTTGCTATGCAGTTTGAAAGTTTGTGTTCTCCCTAAACTTAGGTTGAAATTTCCCAGGTGATAGTATTAGGAGGCAGGGCCTTTGGGAAGTGATTAGGTTGTGGGGGCTCTGCCCTCATGAATGGGATTAGTGACTATTTATTTATTTGTTTATTTATCTTTTTTGAGATGGAATCTCACTCTGTCACCCAGGGTACAACTTCTGCCTCCTGAGTTCAAGTGATTCTCCTGCCTCAGCCTCCAGCATAGCTAGGACTACAGGCATGTGCCACCATGCCCAGCTCATTTTTGTATTTTTGGTAGAGATGGTGTTTCACCATGTTGGCCAGGCTGGTCTCGAACTCCTGACCTCAGGTGATCCAACCACCTTGGCCTCCCAAAGTGCTGGGATTACAGGTGTGAGCCACCGTGGCTAGCCAAGGATTAGTGTCCTTTTAAAAGAGGCCCCAGAGAGACCCCTGCCCCTTGTACCATGTGAAGACACAGTGAGAAGGCACTATCTTAAAAACCAGAAAATTGGTCTTTACCAGTTGTTGAACCTGCTGGCACCCTGATTTGGGACTTCCTAGTCTTTAGAATCATGAGAAATAAATTTCTGTTGATTATTAGCCATCAGTTTATGGCATTTGGTTATAGCAGCCCAAGTGGACAAAGACAGGCCTGGAAGCTCAATGCATAGTGTCTTAAATGGTATTTAACAAAATGTTTCATGGAAGTCATGGTGGGTGCTTTTAATAAGAAAATATTTATTGTGGATGAATTTTTACAGACTGTGGATGTACTACTCCTTCCCCCTTCTCACTACTATACTTGGCTATTCATTTTTTTAAAAAAGAGGAAGGGCAGGCATGGTGGCTCACGGCTGTATTTCTAACACTTGGGAGGCCAAGGAGGGAGTATCACTTGAGCCCAGGAATTGGAGACTAGCCTGGGCAACATAGGAGTTGGAAAAAAAAAAAAAAAATTTATATATATATATATAAATATATAAATAAATATATATATATATATATAATTAGCCAGGTGTGGTGGTGCATGCCTGTTGCCCCAGCTACTTGGGAGGCTGGGGGCTGGGGAGTATTACTTGAGCCTGGGAGGTCAAGGCTTCAGTGAGCTATGATTGTGCCATCGCACTCCAGCCTGGGTGACAGAGCAAGACCCTAAAGAAGAAGAAGAAACAAGAGAAGGATGAGGAGGATGATTAGGAAAAGAAGAAGGAGAAAAAAGATTGTGGATGTGTCAGTTGGAGAAGAAAAGGGAACTTCAGTGGTATAGGGGTAGAGCTCTGAAAGTTTTAAGAATAATAGTTTATGACAGTGAAAACGATAACAGACGAAATAAAAAGCAACGTAATGCAGAAAGGGAGCTCATGAAAAAAGTTTGAGAGAAAGTAAAATATAAAATATTAAATAGAACTGACATTCAAGCCAGAGAGGGTTTCTATAGAGCAGATAGAAGAGATCAAGAGAATGTACAAAGCCCAAACTTTAAGAGGATACCAGAGAAGTCGATATAGTGGAAGAGATCAGAGTTCTGGATCTGTGTAGAAATAAGTGATCTTGATTAACAATGACATGCTTTAAATTAAAGTAGTTTACACATTCACAGTTTTCACAATTTATAATGCTTTAGTTATGCAAATAAACCTCATGGACTGGACTATGGGAAGGCGGGTGTTAGGAAAATTGGGGCAATCACAGAGCACCTCGCAGAGGCACTTCCTTTACTTGGCATTGACAGAGTTAGCTCCAGCTATCGCCCCTTCTCTAAAACCTTTACCGATTCTTCCGATTAGAAGCAAGGCCCTTATCAAAGTGTACTTTTCATCAGTTATTTATGATAACTATCCCTAACTAGACTAGAACTTCGGTGAAGGTAGATCTGTGTCTATTTCGGGTGTTCCAGGCTTTGTCTTGCACATGGTACATCAATATATTTTTATATTCCTTTTCTCTTCTGTTTCCTTGTCCCCTTCGGGTCTTTCTCTTCCTCTTTCTCATCTTACTAAGTGGGCAGTATACGCAGTGTTTCTCAAGTGTTACTTTGCAAACGAATTCTTTAGGCATCTGGCTAAAATGCAGTTTTGGATTCAGTAGCTCTGCATTTCTAACAAATTTTCAGGTGATCCTTATGTTGCTGGTCCTCTGACACTATCACACTTTAGGTTTCAGGGTATTAGGAAAAGGACCCAGAACAGGCTCCATGAAGTCAGTGTCCTGGGTTTAAATATGAATTCTGCTTTTTTTTTTTTTTGAGACTGAGTCTCAGCGTTGCCCAGGCTGGAGTGCAATGGTGCAGTGTCGTCTCACTGCAACCTCCGCCTCCCGGGTTCAAGCGATTCTCTCCCCTCAGCCTCCCGAGTAGCTGGGATTACAGGCGCCTGCTACCACGCCCACCTAATTTTTGTATTTTTAGTAGAGACGGGGTGGGGGGGGGGTGGGGGTTCACCATGTTGGCCAGGCTGCTCTCGAACCCCTGACCTTGTGATCCTCCCGCTTTGGCCTCCCAAAGTGCTGGGATTACAGGCGTAAGCCACCGCGTCCGGTCCTGAATTGGTTTTTACCAGCTGTGTGATTGTGGGCAGGGAAAGCCTCTTGCTTTCTCTGCAAAATGAGATACACTCAGCACCTGTTGCATGTGTAATTGCGAATATTCCGTAAAATAATGTACGTAGCGGGCAGTCAGGCTCGGGTCAGGTCGCAGCACGATGAATGGTAATTACGAGTGTGGGGGCGGGGCCGACAACGGAAGGGGCGGGGCGTCGTCAGCCCTTTCGCATTCGCAGTCTCCCCTGCAGGCAGCTGAGGTGAGACAGCGCCGCGTGGCTTCTCGTCAGGGGTTGGATTTGGAGGTCTCCAGTGCGCCGAGAGTGGGGCGGGTTTCTGCGTGGGTCCTCATCCCAGTTCTGGGGCATGTAGAGGACAGTCAGGTGTCACTACCTCCGTTCACTGGAGGCGAGCGTTTCCGGGTCGCTGGGCGACCTTGACCCGGCGGCCTGGCCGTGCTGCGTGGGTACCCGCGCGTGTCGCCTGCAGGCCCGGCCCGAGCGTTCCGCGGGCTCTGGGAGCGCCGAGGGCAGCCGGGGGCAGTAGGGAACCGGGGGAAGCGGGAGCTGGGTGGGAACCGCGGCAAAAGCCGGGGGCGGGGGAGCGAAGACGGCCAGCCTGAGGCACCAGGCCTCTGCGGAGAAGCCGTGCTCTGCACAGCTGGACGGGGAGAGACGTTGCTGCTCGCAGCCGCGTCGCCTGCGGGCGCTGAGCTGGGAGGCCGCCCCGCACAGCGAAGCAGCCCCGATTCCCGGGGCTTCCGACCCAGCATTGCTCATTTGTCTTGAGCTTGCGTTCCGGAGTCAGCTTCTCAGCCCCGCGTGAAGTTAACTGCGTGACAGCCCTGCGCCGAAGCTGTCAGAGGCGGCTTGGTGTTAAACTTCACCGGAGCGATGCCTGTCCCCGTGCGGGGAAGGCAGGCGCTCCTCTGCCAAGCCTCCCTTGCCGCAGCTGGTAAAACTCACTTTGTTGTGGGGGGACCGGTGTGTCTCTGGTGGTCTGTAGCAAAGGGGCTTGAAGTTTTGTCATCAGCCCCCTGAAGGCGAGGGCCTCGGAGTGCAAAACGTGTATATATATATTTTTTAAAAGGGTAAATACTTTGTTGTACGATGTTATTTGGAGGCAGCTGTGCTCACCACTATACACCAGAGCAGCCGTACAGTATTATTTGGACTTTATTTATTTATTTTCCTTTTAACCCTGGCCTACAGATGGACTTTATTTTTTTGAACCCTTAGCATCGCCCTCTCTTGAAACAAAATTTTACTTCGATTTCTTGAATAATGGAACTGGCTGTAGCCAGCCTCTGTTCATCCATTGAACGTTAAAAAGTAACCCCAAGAGCCCGGGTGCGGTGGCTTACGCCTGTAATCCCAGCGCTTTGGGAGGCTGAGGCGGGAGGATCACTTGAGGTCAGGAGTTCCGGACCAGCCTGACCAACATGGTGAAACCTCTTCCCTACTAAAAATGCAAAAAATTAGCCAGACCTGGTGGCACACGCCTATAATCTCAGCTACTCGGGAGGCTGAGTCAGGAGAATCGCTTGAACCTGGGAGACGGAAGTTGCAGAGAGCCGAGATTGCACCGCTGCACTCCAGCCAGGGAGACAGAGCAAGACCTAGTCTTTAATTAAAAAAAAAAAAAAAATAGGCCAGGCTTGGTGGCTCATGACTGTAATCCTAGCACTTTGGGAGGCCAAGGCAGGCGGATTGCCTGAGTTCAGGAGTTCGGGACCAGCCTGGGCAACACGGTGCTAAAATACAAAAAATATGCTGGGCATGGTGGTGGGTGCCTGTAGTTTTAGGTACTGGGGATGCTGAGGCAGGAGAATTACTTGAACCCGGGAGGCAGAGGTTACAGTGAGCTGAGATTGGGCCACTGCACTCCAGCCTGGGCAACAGAGCGATACTCTGTCTCTGAAATAAATAAATAAATAAATAAATAAACAAATCAATAAATAAATAAGGACTGGGTGTGGTGGCGCACCTGTAGTCTCAGCTATCAGGAGGTAGAGGTAGAGAATTGCTTGGAACCTGGGAGGTGGAGATTGCAGTGAGCCAAGATCACACCACTGCACTCCAGCCTGGGAGACAGAGCAAGACCCCATCTCAAAAAATAAAAAAAAATAAAAAAATAAAAATAACCCCAAGAGAGCCATCTGTACTGAGCATGACTTGATTTATTTTCTGTCAGTCAGGTACAGCACTGTAGTGAATGGAGCAAAAACAACCCTACCTTCCCACCACTCAACTGCCTTTTGGTTATATATGAATTCCCTTGTAACTCTGTTTGCTTCATTTCTTTTAAATAATAATAATAAAGTTTTAATCTTTTGGTTTCCAGGGTGATCACATTATCAAAATGAAGGAATTCGGGGTAGTGGTGGGGAGGGCCACATGGTAATGATATTAGCAGGATAATCCTACAAAAGGAAGGTTATTTGATTACTCCCACCCTCAGGCATTGAAAAGGGGTCAGAAGTGAATGGAGTAACTGACAGCAGGGAGCTGGGGCTGAGGACAAAAGAGCACACAGAGGACAACAGAAAAGTCTGAGATGAAAAATGTGTGGTTCTCGTCTGGACTTTGAGGTTATAAGGAGGCAGACTAAAAACCTGGGTTTACATTAATTTATTCAGTGAGTGTCATATATTCTATCTTCTTAACTTGTTTAATTTGAAAAAAAAAATAATGACACAAACCCTTTTTTTGATTAACTTTTAAAGGAAGAGAATCAAGATCGAATGAGTCTGTAGTTTTGCCACTTACTGGTTCATCACCCAATCAGTTTCCACCCCCCGCCCCCATTTGTATAAAAATTACTGAGAATGTCTACTAAAGGGCAGATTACTGGGGTGCCAATCCTAGATCTGCTGAATCAGAATCTGGAGATTGGGAAGTGGAGAACTGCAGGCTGAGGCTCAGGAAAGTGCATTTTAAACAAGCTTCTTAGTGCATTGAAAGTTTTAAGACCTGTTATAGGCTGGGCATGGCGGCTCACAACTGTAATCCCAGCACTTTGGGAGGCTGAGGTGGGCGGATTGCTTGAGCTCAGGGGTTCGAGACCAATCTAGGCAATGTGGTGAGACCCTGTGCCTACTAAAAATACAAAAAAATAGCCAGGCTTGTGGTGCGTGCCAGTGGTTTCAGCTACTCAGGAGGCTGAGGTGGGAGGATTGTTTGAGCCGAGGGGGCGGAGTTTGCAGTGAGCTGAGATCCTGCCATTGGACTCCAAATGCTTGAACTATGGCACATAGTTTCGTATATATTGTATTAATAGTTTAGTATATGCTGTATTATTAGTATATGTTGTTATACTATACTTAGTATATATACTATGTATATAGTATACTTATATATGCTATATAATATACATATTAGTATATATGTATATAGTAGTATATGTTATATTAATAAAAGAACTCCAGCCATAGAAAGTGTAGAACCATTTCAGAAAAATCTTACTTTTGCAGGGCACTTTACAAAGAGCTATTTACATGTTGTATTCATTTAGATGATTTCTTAATTCCCAGTGCAGCTAAAAAATTGATTTAACCTCTCTTCCCCATTCTGTTTTCCTACACAATTAATCCATAAATTATTCTTTTTACAATGCTTTCTTGAATTTTATCTCTTTCCTGTACTTTATCCAATTTTGTCCTGTTCATCATGCCCCTCAGGCATGGAGTTTGAAAACTAGGTATGCTGGATGTCTAAACCAAAAAAGTATACCATAATATTGGGGTCTTATTCCCATACAGATAAGCCATTCAAACTGTGGGAATGAATTTGAGTTATTAGGGAAATGGTAATAGTTTACATATGCTCATTTAAGCTTACACGTATTTTTTGTTAAATTTAGGATGGCCCGTACTATGGAACCACTAGCAAAGAAGATCTTTAAAGGAGTTTTGGTAGCTGAACTTTTAGGCATTTTTGGAGCATATTTTTTGTTTAACAAGATGCACGGAAGCCAAGGTAATTCAGAAGTTAATGCTTTTTAAAGCAGTATAATTTGCCAATACATTTTGTGTATTAAATAGAAATGACATTTTTGGAGAAATTGCTTCTTCAGATTTAAGCCATATTAGACATTTTTATGGGCAGAACATGATTCAAATTATTCATTATTGTAGCCTAGATGATTCTCCCTTCTCCCTTAAAAATGTTGTTTGTAGACTAAGGAAAAAATTTCTTATCTCCATGAGTTTTACTACTGGGGAGGGTAGAGCAAGTGTCCTTGGTCTGGCTTAGTTTGGGAGCACAGATGGAGGAAACGTAGTCTGTCCATTACATTTCATTGTTTAGTAGACTAAGAAAGTAAGTGGCATTGCTGTTTTCTCGGAGGAACCAGTTTTCTCAGGCTTTAGTTTTCTTCCTGGGCATTAACAGTGGGTACTAAAAGACTTTCACATGCTATGGCTGAAAGTTCTTTAACATTTTTTTGGGGGAAAATTTTATATTAGAGCCCTCAACTTTTTAAATTAGGAAGTGATTTTTCTCTAAAACAGGGCACAGTCCTAGGGTGATAGCCATCTTTGAAACTTGTCACATAGTATTCCTCAGCATACTTTGTTGGAATGCTCTACCAAGATGCTACTGGATACTCACAAAATCTCTCTTCTTTTAAACTTGAAGGAAGGGTATAAAGAAAACATCCCAAAAGTATTTAAAAGCAAATTAAAATCTGGGATCAATTTTAAGAACTGGTTATCGCTGGATGTGGTGGCTCTCGCACTTTAATTCCAGCACTTTGGGAGGCCAAGGTGGGAGGATCGCTTGAGCCTAGTCTGGGTAACATAGCAAGAACCTGTATCTTTTTTTTTTTTTT